GTGTCCATCTAATGGGAGGAGATGAGATGTTACAAATATTGACTATTGAAGAGAGGGGGAGGGGGGAATTAAGAACAATTTTATTAAAGAAGAATAATGATATATTTTAGGGTAAAGGAGTTAAATATACCCTAAGTTTTCATAATTAAATTGCCTTAAAGGTACCTTTCGTTCTTCAAATAGACTCCAATATACCTTGTCAGCTGGCCTTACTGGAAGAAGAAGAAGAAATAATATTAATTATGTCTAATATTTAATAAGAGAAATTAATAAATAAAACAAGGGCACATGACTAGTTTTCCTAAACCAAGACAAACTGTAGAGTACTAACGGCATAGAAGACTAGGTTGTTCTAGAGAGAGAGAGGGAGTCATGTGGGTAGTACAACTTATTTTGGGAGGAATCACAAGAGAAAACCTTGTTTTAGCCACTTGTAAAGTCATTTAAGTGGGCAACAATTCAAACCCCAATTCTAAAACCATTCCGCATTGGTTGTTACAAAACTCATGCATGTGTATATAAGAAGTGGAATAATAATGTCATTCTTGGTACTGTGAATCAAGGATTAAAATATTGGTATTGGATATCGTATTGGAGAATTCAAATATGGATATGGATACAGATATGCTTTGGAAATATATGAATACAGACAAAAAATATGAAAACACATGGATACACTAGGAAAATACATACAAATTCCACAAATACATTAATAACACTAAATTTAAGACTAAAATAGTCATAAATAGTATATAAATACATAAAAAATGTATATTTTAATGGTGTATATGAAAAAAATATATTACAATTAATATATCAGGATGCCTAGATATCATATAATTTTATTTATAATGCATCAATCAAGAATCCAAGACACTAAACACATGTACATATTATAATTTAATTATTATATCAGTTATTTTTTATTTTACCATTTTAATTTTTTAACATTAACAAAAAATTGACTAAATATTAAAATTTTAAATGCAAATTAAAATATCAATTAATCATTTACAAGAATATAATATTAATTTAAATTATATCAAATTTGTTAAAATTTCTAAGATACATATCATGTACAAATTCATAAATTTAATTACTAAAATAATTATTCAATTCTTAAAATTTTTATTTATATAAATTATTTGAAATAAAAAATAATTTTTTGAAATAAATGTAGATTAGTGAATTTGATAGATTCAATTTAATATTATATTCTTCAATATTTTGTAAAAAAAATATTTTTATTTTTTATAAATAATAAATATGTTGCTATTACTTATTAATGTAAATTAAAATATTAATTAATTTCTAAAAAAATATAAAAGTTTAAGATGCATATCATGTACAATTTAAATATTAAATTAATTATTTTATTTGTATAATTTTATTGATATTAAAAATCATCTTTTTATATAAATATGGATTTGATAGATTAATTGTTCTATTAATTTATAAAATACTATTTTTGAATATTATTGCTTGGAATAATTAGAATTGTTAAACATAAGGGTTTGACTATGATATGGAAAATATATGATATCTGAAAAACATTTGACCAATCAATTGGAATCATAAACGTGGTAGCTAATCAGGTGTTATTTATCAAAATTCATGGGTGGGTTTTGATTGGTCAAAACTTTTTCAATACCATATCTTTTCTGCATCATAGGTTTTCTCTAAATATAAACATGTATTATTTATTTAAATTATATGTCAACACAAAAAAAGAAAGTTAATAACATTTATTTATTCTATTTAATATCGGAAGATGAGGTTTTGTGTGGTGGTTTAGAGTGTGAAGAAAGATTGCATGTCCGAATGACCTGGTTTGAATCGTTGCATTTTTTACGAAGTAAAGCTTGGGCTTAGTTCAGTTTAAGTTGAGTGGATTTGAGGCTGGTGAGGTTGGCTTCTTTGTGATAAGTTTTAATCTGGTAGGTTGGCTCAAAAGTCAAAACTGACCAGCATTCATTCATTTAGTCCTTGTGGGGTTTATACCACCTCCTTTAGGCTATTTGTAAGAATAAAAGTAAACAGTACTTGGGTAATGTTTGGGAGTGATTGTGTTAAAAATAAGTGCTTAAAAACAAGTGCTTATTTAAATAAGTACTTATTTGTATTTTACATTCAAAAATTTCAAGTGAAAATAAGCACTTATTTCATATTAGGTGTTTGGTAGTCTTTTTCTCCAATAAGCATTTAAATAAGCATTTGTGACTATTTTGCCCTTCATTTTCTTTCAAAATTTTAAATTATACCCTTATGAATTAAAGTACTTTTGTGAAAGCAGTTTTATAAAAGTAATTTTCTGAAAAGTACTTTTACATGAAAGCACTTTTATAAAAGTACTTTTACGGAAGTACTTTTATGAAATCATTTTTACGAAAGCACTTTTACAAACACTTTTACGAAAACACTTTTATAAAAACACTTTATGAAAGTGCTTTTATAAGATTCAACTAGGGTTAATTTTGGAAGAAAAAAATTGAATAAGTGCTTATTGTATAAGCACTTAAAAAAAGATGGAAATTTGGGCATAAAAAATAAGCCCTTACTAAAAGTACACTTTTATGAAAGTACTTTTATGAAAGCACTTTTGTAAAAGTAATTTTTTGAAAAGTACTTTTACACAAAAGCATTTTTATAAAAGTACTTTTATGAAATCATTTTTATGAATGTACTTTTATAAAAGCACTTTTACGAAAGTACTTTTATAAGATTGAAAAAAAAATTAAATAAGTGCTTATTGTATACGCACTTAAAAAGAGATGGAAGTTTGGGCGTAAAACATAAGACATTACTTTTAAAATAAGCACTCATTTCAAGCTTATTTCACAAACACAAATAAGTGCTTAATGGTGTGGTTTTGGCCCAAATAAACACTTATTTTTAAGCTCTCTCAAACATGACCCAATTGGTTCAATAACAATTGTAAGTTGTAAAAAAGCATGTGGCTTTAGTGATTTTGGTTCTGTTGGGCCTGGACTAATATTTCTTTTATACCCTATCTCCTAAGTCCTAACTGTTGTAGGCAATCACTACACTAAGGTTATGTTTGGTTTGAAAGAAAAGGTAAGGAAAGGAAGGGAAAGGTAAGGCTGTGAGGAAGGCGTGAGGACGGTTCGAAGACCAAATCCGAATTCGATTGATAGAGTGAAATAGTCCTGTACGCCAATAAAATAGCTCTTCTTTATTAGCAACAAAATATTCCAATCCAACGGGCACATCATTCTGATAGATCAACCCAGATGATCGTCTTCCCCAGGCCCAGGTTGACCCCACCGCCACCAGCAACTCATTTCAGTGGGGCCCACAATTCATGAGCTCCGCCATGCCTGTAGCGCGTTGTAGGTGCAGCCAGTCAACTAACCTGTTTCAAGCTACCACCTCCACCGTGACACCGTCCCATAATCTCCCACAGTCCCACCCCACACGGACACGGTTAACGGTCTAGTCGATCAGTCCCCAGTCCCCACCGCCAAATCCAAAACGTCAGCTACGCGTTCCCGAAACGACGAGAAGCGAAGAATGTACAACCGCGTCTCGATCACTACTAAAGTGTCTCGTTTGAGCGACACGTCGTAGTGTAGGAAGCATCTCATGGTCATGGTGTCAGATGTCTGTCTCATCTTCTCTAGAAGGAGACGATCTGCCTTTCTCGTCCTAGGAAACAAGTAACAAGGAAGAAAGAGACACTCGATTCAGAGATCTCCAGAGAGAAAAAGACCAGAGCTCAAGTCCATTTCTCTTCTGAGTTCTGACCCACGTAAGGTTAGCTTCTTATGTACTTCATTTTCTGGGTTTCTTGTTCTATCATCTATTGATCTGTATGTGAGCTTTGCTTCGGTTGAATTGTGGGTTTTGATTTTCGTTTTAGATTTGATTCATAGAACTATGATTGGATGCTGGTTTGGGTTAATTTGCAATTTATTAGGTATAGGTTAAGATTGGGCTTAGGAAAGTGGTTTTGAATGTAAGAGACATAGAGATGATGTAGATAACCAGACGAATTCTTGAGTTTTATTTTCTTGTAAAGGTTTCCCTACCTTTTCCTTCAAACCAAACACAGCCGTAAAGGAAAATTTTGATGCGTGGAGGTTCATTAATGGGAGTTTATTGCTATAAAGAAAGAGAACATTATGTTGCCAGAAGTTTAAATTCAAAAATCAAAATTAATTAATTAATTAATTAATACTGCACTTTTGGTTTTATTCATCTCATGAGATATGACGTCTTGTCGTGGTGTTTTCAGCTACACTTGTGTTCAATGTGAACCCAGATGGCCAGATCTATATTTCTTCTTCTCTGAATTTACAGACTCTGATTCTATATTTTATTTCTGAACTTGACAGAAAGTGCTAACGAGCTTAGTAAATTTTGCATTTTTATTTACATCCCTATAGAAGGAATTGCTTTTCTCTTAATTAAATTCTGTTTTCATTCCACTTTTTAGAAATTTGGACCTATAATTCACAGAGAAGATACTCTGGCAACAAAGATAAAATATGAAACTTGTGAAGCTAATGACCACTGACACTCATTGGATTGGTTAGCTGGAATGCTAGCTCAACTAAAACTAGCAGGTCAAAGAGCCGTTTAGAGTTGTCAGACTATTTTGAAATTGTTTCTACATAAGATTTGATTTTGAAGATCTGTAGCCATCACATAGGATTTTATGTTTATGTCTTGTTGAGTGTAGTTTTGAAATGGATTTGATTGACTAGTAATCTTATTGAGGAAAGTTAGAATGCATTGAGCAGTACATATGCATAGAATGAATGCATTAAATATTCATGATCTTTTCGTTTGTTTTGTTCTTCAATGGTGACATGAGCTTCTGCTAACTTCCATTAGTTAATTCTCATTATGACTATTTCAAATTTGGAATAATCATGTTGTGCTAATCAATCATCATTTGCTGCAATTATTTGTAGGTAATTTGATAACAAGCATAAAGAAGAGGTTTGCATTTCTAGTTCCATCAAGCGACACAATAGATGGATAGTGGATCTAAGCTCATTATTGATAAAGAAGATAAGGTGGAAAAAAAAGAGCATCTCAAGATGAAAAGTAAAGATAAAGAAGTTGATAACGAGAAGGAAGAGAAACCCAAACATAAGGACGACAAGGAGAAGAAATACAAAGAGAAGGATAAAGCAAAGGAATCAAAGGACAAAGAGAAGAAGAAGGATAAAGAGTCAAAAGATGAGGAAAATGAGAAGAAAAAGGATGAAGATGAGGAGCACAAGGAGAAGGACAAGGAGAAGGAGAAGAAAAAGAAAAAGGAGAAAGAGGAGAAACACAAAGAGAAGGATGAAACAAAGGAATCAAAGGAGAAGGACAAAGCAAAGGAATCAAAAAAGGACACAGAGAAGAAAAAGGATAAAGAGTCAATAGATGAGGAAGATGAGAAGAAAAAAGATGAAGAGGAAGAGCATAAGGAGAAGGAGAAGAAGAAGAAAAAAGAGAAAGGGGAGAAACACAAAGAGAAAGATCACAAAGATGATGCAGATCAAAAGGAAAAGGAGAAAAACAAAGATAGTGAAACCAAGAAAAAGGTAGATGAGAAGACAGAGAAAATTGAGAAAAAAGACAGAGAGAAGGAAGGAAAAGGAAAAAAGAAAGACAAAGATGGTCAATTGAAAGAAAAAGATAATGTGAAGGAAAAGGAGGACACATATAAGAAGGATAAAGAGTCCAAAGATGAGGAAAATGAGAACAAAAAAGATGAAGATGAAGAACAGAAGGAAAAGGAGAAGAAGAAAAAGGAGAAAGATGATAAGCATGAAGAGAAGCACAAAGAGAATGAAGAGAAAGAGCAGAAGAAGGAAAAGGACACAGAAAAAGATGAAAAGAAGAAGAAGAAGAAGAAGAAGAAGAAAGAAAAAGAGGGAGGAGACTACAAAGAAGAAAAAGAGAAAGAAAAGGATAATTTTGAAATGACTTCAAGGGAGGTCAAAATTGAAGAAGAGGAAGAGAAGAATGATGAAGAAATAAAAGAGGAAGGCAAGGAGAAAAAAAAAGAGAAAGAGAAGAAGGATGAGAAAAAACGAAAGAAGCTTGATGCTAAGGGAAAGAGCAATAATCTTGAGAAATTGAAGAAGAAGTTAGACAACATAAATTCCAAGATAGAAGTCCTCATGGAGAAAAAAGCAGACATCATGAAGCTGATCAAGGAAGGTGAAGAAGAGAATTCTGCTATTGCTGAAAAATCCAAAAATACATTTGTGAGCACTAATGTGGCAGAGAATTGAGGATAATGCTTCTATATGTTTTTTTTTTTTTTTTTTATCTCTTCTTTCTTTTACCTTTTTATATATGAGTTTTGTAGATAAAATAACTCTTGTATCAATAAAATGTATTAGTCTATAATGTAATGCTCAGTCAAACTCTCCTCCAATTTAGATTATCTATTTGCATCTCATATAGTCTTAACGATGTGGTCCTTGATCTATATTCTAATCATTCATGGAGAGTGGGAGACGAGAGAGAGAGAGAGAAAGAGAAGAAAAGGGAGATACAATTGAGAGGAGAAGAAGGCTGCCGCCAGTTCTCTATTTATATTAATTTAATAAAAAGAATAGAAATATAAGTATGCCCCTGGCGGCACACCCTAGAACCAAATTAATAAGAAAAAAAGAAAAGTAATTAACTGACAGTATCTTAAGAAGTCAGCCTACTAACAGCAACTACAAAGTAACAATTAAATAAGCCTTACAACACTCCCCCTCAAGTTGGGTTGAATATGTCTATCATGCCCAGCTTGTCACATAACTCATTGTGCCGCGAGTATGGAAGCCCCTTTGTGAGGACATCAGCAAGTTGTTTCTTGGAATTGACATAAGGGATGCAAATTTCCCTTTTTTCCAATTTTTCCCTTATGAAGTGTTTGTCCACCTCAATATGCTTGGTCCTCTCATGTAGGACAGGGTTGCCGGTGATGTTTATTGCAGCCTTGTTGTCACAGTAAAGAAACATAGGACTATGAACAACAACTCCAAGCTCCCCTAGAAGATTCTTTAGCCAAAGTACTTCAACCACCCTATCTGTCATAGCTCTATATTCAGCTTCAACGCTTGACCTTACTACCACACTTTGTTTTTTGCTTTTCCAAGTCATTAGATTTCCTCCCACAAATGCGCAATACCCACTTGTGAACTTTCTGTCATCCACAACACCTGCCCAATCAGCATCTGTAAAGACTCCCACCTTTAGGTGATTGTGTTTACTGAATAGTATACCTGTTCCGGGATATTTTTTCTCTCTCTACTGCTTCCATGTGTGGTTTCTTAGGAGAGTGCATGAATTGGCTTAGGACCCCAACGGAATAGGCAATGTCTGGATGGGTCATGGACAAATAAATCAGCTTTCCCACTAACCTTTGGAAATGTTTCACATCTTTCAGAGGTTCACCATCAAAGTCACCTAACTTGTGGTCAACATCCATGGGAGTATCTGCCGACCTTGCACCTAATTTGTCTGTGTCCTATAATAGATCAATGGTGTATTTCCTTTGAGAGATAAAGATACCCTTTTCTGAGTGGGCAATTTCAATCCCAAGGAAATACTTTAGGGGACCTAAATCTTTCACTTCAAATTTAGATGAATTGTTTCAATCTTTGTATATCTGAATTCCAACTTCTTGTAATGATGATATCATCCACATACACTATCAATACAGCAATCTGCTCCTGACATCTCTTCATAAAAAGTGTATGATCAGACTAACATTGTTTGAAGCCCATCTGATGAACTGCCATGTGAAACTTACTGAACCAGGCTCTGGGAGATTGTTTTAAGCCATAAAGAGACTTTCGCAGCTTGCACACCTTATTTTCACTTCCCTTGGCACAAAATCAAGGGGGTTGAGCCATGTATACTTCCTCCTCTAAGTCACCATTCAGAAAAGCATTCTTTATGTCCAGTTGATGCAATTCCCAATCAAGATTAGCAACTAAGGACAGGAGAACCCTAATTGAGTTCATCTTAGCTACTGGAGCAAAAGTCTCATCATAGTCAACCCCGTATACTTGTGTGTACCCTT